TAAGGAATCGATAGTGAAAGTGCGCTTCGCTCTTGGAAAGGTACGGCACCCCTGATTGCCCTGATCACCATATTTGTGTACATGAATACATGTAGATTGTTGTACATGAATAAGTGTGGATTATTGTACATTAAAAAAAATAAGACCTATAAGCAGGAAATGTCCACTTTGAAGAGAGACCTGAGTACTAGATTGGAGGACATTGAGCAGACCACGAATGCTTTACAATCCCGTGTGCTGCTCCATGATGCCACTTTACAAGAACATACCATACTGATCCACCAACTCCTGTACAGCCAGGATAATCAAGAAAACAGGAATCGCCGCAACAATATAGATATTCGCGGCTTGCCTGAATCGATTGAGACCCGGGATTTGGAAGCCGCTGCAACAGCACTCTTTAACCAGCTTCTAAACAAGCCTAAAGATTCGTCTATAGAGATGGACAGGATACATAGGGTTTTCGGGGCTCGGCGCCCTGACCAATCTAACCCTAGAGGTGTCATCCGTCGCATCCAATTCTTCAAAATTAAAGAGGAAGTCATGAGGGCTGCCCGTACCCAGGATGCTAATTTATTTATCGATAGCCCTGTCTCCTTGCTGTCGTACCTGTCGGGACATAGGCTTATACTACGCAGGGCCCTGAAACCTTTATTGGTAGTTTTGCGTCAGCGCGACATCAAGTATCGGTGGGGTTTTCCCTCTCAATTGATTGTCCACCATGAAGGTAAATCAGCTATTTTTCGCACTATGAGCAACCTTCCGGCCTTCCTTGGTAAACTTGAACTCCCACAAGTGGCCTTGCTGGACTGGCCACTGAAACCGTGCCTACCTGGTTTCATCTCCCAGCCGCCCTGGCAGAGGAAGCCAAAGAAGACCTCCGGTCGGGCCGCCACCTCCACTTCATTACAAACCTGATCACGTTCTACTGCCTGTTGCAGTACATGTCTCTATTGGAGTCGTTTGTCCAATCCCGTGCTGATGCCATCTTGCCTGGAAGCCCCGAGATGTGGCTACTACCACCTGCTGCCGTCTACCGGGGGCTTATTGTTTGCTGAAGATGACCTCTGGTGGAGGGTTCCCTGGCCTGTTGGTTGCCCGTTGCCACTAGGGATGTCCCGATGCCACTTTTTAAAGTCCAAGTCCAAGTACAAGTAAAAAAAAAACAGTGCAAGCTTCGGCGCTATGCATCGGGCGATTTTGACAAGTACAAGTACTTGTCAAAATGCCCTGTATCGGGCCCAATACCAATGCTAGCATCGGTATCGGGACATCCCTAGTTGCCACCATCTATGGATCTCACAAGCTGACTATGTTCGGGTCTTCACCGGGAATCTATATGGTCCCTGATGCTGTGACGTGCCTTACCCTGCTTTATGCTGTTTCATTTTATTGCCGTTTCTTGATATGCTGCTGTTGATTGATTGTTTATTGTTTTTTTTACACTCGTGTATTTTATACTTGCCCAGAAGCGGGAGACGCTTTATGTGTCTTCCACGATACCCCCACTTAGGTTGCCAGTGAGTGATCTCACTGGCCTCATTCTTGTCATTAGTAATTGTTGGTTCATACTGTGGTATATTCCTGTGTACTACATACCTGAGACCACCAGATGGAGCTTTGGTCTCTGTCTCTGTTTTCTCTCTCTCTCTCTATCTCTGTCTTCTCCTTCTTTTCTCTCGTTTACCCCCTCTCAAGCCCTGGGAGATGTCTTCTATTTACTCACCAAACTTTCTTTCCCCAGTGATGGATAACTCTAAGGTTTCCTTTGCCTCGTTAAATGTCCGACTGTTTAATACCCCTCAGAAAAGGAGTCAGGTGCTCTATCATTTCCACAAACATAAGGTAGGCATTTTGCTTTTGCAGGAAACCCATTTCTGCAGTGATAACATCCTTAAATTGCCGACTACCTATTATACTTGTAGGTTTCGTAGTACCAATCCCTCCTCGAAATCCAAAGGTGTTTCTATAGCCTTACACAAGTCCCTTCAGCCTGATGTCATCCAGCAACAAGCTGACTCACAGGGCAGATATTTATTTTTGAAGGTAAAACTTTTTAATACTGTATATACATTGGCTAATGTCTATTTCCCCAACCAGGACCAACTGGCCTTCCTTGCATCCCTTATGAAGGATCTAGAGAGTTTTGGGTATCCTCTGGTTCCCAGTCTGGATTCATCCTCTGGTAAGTCTACCATGTCTCATGCCTTCTATTCGAAATTTAAACTCTTATTGCACCAGCTAAGACTGATAGTTGTATGGCGGGTACTACATGCCTCTGAAAGGGACTACACCTATTTCTTCTCCCCGGTACATAACTCGTTAAGTAGATTGGATTACTTTTTTTATCTCTCAGCCATTATTGGATCAGGCCCCCTCTGCTCGCATTGGTCTCCGCATTTGGCCGGACCATGCCCCTGTTTTCTTCTCCCTGGGTATATCCCACAGACGCCACACGTCCTTCATGTGGCGCCTCAACAATGACCTGCTACAGGACCCTCCCTGTTTGAGTGAGGTTCGGAAAACCATCCAGGATTTTGTCCTGATCCATGCCACCGACTCCACCCATCCACAGACTCAATCGGAGGCCTTAAAATGCGTGATCCGTGGCGTTTTCATTAAACATGGCTCCTGTCTTAAGAAAGCTAGAACATCTCGCATTGTCGAGCTTCTAACTTCTATCTCTACCCTTCAGGGCATTCATAAGTCTAATCCCCTTGCTTCTGTGTATGTGGACTTCTCCAACGCTAGGCAGGAACTGCTATCCATCCTAGACTCCAAATCCTGTGTTGCTGGGGACAGGGCATGTAAATTTAGGTATGAGGTGGCTAATAACTGTGGTCGCCATCTGGCTACGATTCTACATCCTCGCTCCCCCCGTTCCTTTATTCCCTTTATTACCTCTCATCACTCCACCAAAATACAAGGTACAGCAGGTACCATACTGGACCATACTGCCCTTCCCATACTGAACCCTACAGTATCCAGCGATCTAGACTCTTTATTCACTACAGAAGATCCATTTCTAAGATCCTCGCCCTCCGTATTTCCCCGTCGCTGCCTTATCTTATCAACGCAGAGCAGGTGGGGTTTGTCCCCGGTTGAGAGGCCAGGGACAACACTACTAAAACCCTAAATTTAATTTCCCACGTCTGCAAGCATAATGCCCAGGCCTGCCTATTGTCTATTGATGCCGAGAAGGCCTTTGACCGGGTGGACTGGCGTTTCCTCCATCTCGCGTTACACCAGTTGGGTCTAGGTCCCAATATCATATCCAAACTGATGTCCCTCTATTCTTCCCCGACGGCCTGTGTCGTAGTAAATGGCACCTTCTCAGATCCCTTCTCCTTTTCTGATCTTTCTCGCTAAGGTTCTTTTGCTTCTGCACACCTCTCTTTTTCTCTCTACCTTGATAGAACAATTAGCTTCCTTTGCTCCCCCCACAGTGGCGATATTTGTCGCACATCGATATTTTCTCCTATACGCTATACTACCATCGTACCTTTTGATGTAGGTTTGTGGCAGGCCTGCATGGGCATAGAGTGGACGGTTATCACCTCCTTTTACCTCATATTGTTTCCACATACTTATGCTCTACCTACCTACTCTCCTTGTACAATGTACTGTTTTCATTGCTGCTTATCTATGTTTCATTTTATTGCCACTGATGGACTAAAGCCTTATGTTGCTAACTTTCATGAGAATTGTTCTTACGGTCTGCTTTGATGTGTTATTTCTAATTTCTTAATAAAGAAAAGATTCAACTCTAAGCATACCCATTAAGCTCTTTGCTTGGGAATGCTCAGACCCTCTTAAGGCTTTGCTATTTCTTTGTTCATATAACTAATATAAAATTATATAGCTGTGTTAAATGAAAACCTAAAAAATAAAATTATTTCTGTTATACACTAAACCCAAATATGAATTGGAACTGATTTAAGCTTGTCTAACAAAACTGTATTATGCTCTGAATGGTCACTTTACACTCTTCTTCATCATACCTGCTTGTCTGGCAGAATGTGCAAAACTCATTAAGGCCTCTTTTTTTCTCTGTCTTAAACTAATGTTAACACAGCTGCAGTCTTTCCAATAGTGACCACTGGAACTAGAAGTATTTGGGGCACAGTAGGGGACCTGCACAAATCTGTGTCTGTAGACCCACATAAACTTCACATCCACAACCTACTGCTTATACCTTTACCTGCATCTCACTTTCATCCTCCTTATTTGCCAAAAATCCAACTAGCAAGAGCTTATGCTGGCAAACCTTCCAACTTTTGCCACTGTCATGTTACAAGAAACTTATAAGGGAGTCACCACATTACAAGAAACTACCAAATAACATCAGAATGCTGCCATGTATACACTTAATAATCTGGATGATTCATATAATGGGTGCATTACAAGTTTCTGTCACCTTAGAATTAAATATATGTAAACAATAAGTGAAAGCAACTGGACTTGCTGTATTTTTCTTGAAGACGTTTCACTGGTCATCCAACCAGCTTTCTCAAGTCATTCTGAATTGAGAACATTGGCTGGATGACCAGTGAAACGTCTTCAAGAAAAATAGAGCAAGTCCAGTTGCTTTGACCTATTTTTTACAGATATACCATGACCTGGATGAATGAGAACCTTTACAGACATCTTTAGAATTAAATGCATATCACAGGAGCCTAACATGTTAGTGTATTGAAACACAGCAACAGACTCTATTAGAAACTGCTGCCACATTACCATAGACTGGGCTACTGCTGACTTAGAGGAGCCTTTCATACCTTATTTAATTTGATCACAAGGCAGACATTCATGCCTGTAATGTTATTACTCAAAGCTAGTCCATTCCTTGAATCTTTAATAAGGAAAATGCAACAATTTTAGTTCCTTTTTCATTAAGTGTGGAGATAACCTTTTAGTCATGAGTATGTATGTTTCACTAAAAGTCTATTTTATTGTCAAGTTGGTTAATTTGTTAAGAATCACTACTTAGAAACTCGTACCTGCAATAAGGTTCCAACATGTTAGTAGAATGTTCACATTTGCCGTGTTTACAGTAGCCGTCATAAACATCAGAACAGGAAATATGCACTCCTCTTGCAGTTTCTTCTAATTTGTTTGCATTCTCTAAAAGCAGACAGTAATATAAGAAAAAGGCTTAATAGAGATCATGCATTTACAACAGCATATTGTATTTCAGGTTTTCCAATTCTGTATAGAAGCAAGGCATCTTAGTAGCAATAGAGACCCAGTGAATTCTATGCTCTAAAATAAATGATGCTGAAATGACATAGAGATAGAATTTGTTAAATATTTTGTTAAATATCTGGCTATGCGCATGCCAGGCAGACCGTTTAAAGAGAACTAAAAATGCCCATATATTGGTCTAGTGCCTTCACTAAATCAGTATATCTTCAATGCTTACACTAAAACCAAGTTGGAAGATATTCTTTCAATATATTTTTTAACCAGTAAAATTAATGAAATAAAAAATGTTAATACCCATATTGCTTATTTATATCTAAATATTATAGCCAATTATTTGATCCCATTTGGTCTGTTACATGTACCATTGAAAGCGTGTTTTTTTCCGGTATATCTGTTCAATAAGTGCAAAAAACTTCATGTTGATTCTACCAGAAATCTTGTTAGTTGATCATTTCCTGTGCTCTCTGCCTGTGCTGCACTCTTATCAGTTACATTGTTCCCAGTTCTCTCTGTAGACTACCAAACACCTTACTACTATGTTATGCAGATGAGGAGAGGGCAAGGGGTTCTGTAGTTCTAAACCATTTCCTGTCTTAGGTTGACAATGCTGCTTCTCCATAGATACAATAGAATAAGTGAGCCTTGTCATCCTAGAGCAGAAATTGTGATACAGGCAGAATCACCAGGTGAAAATAAAGAGGAACAAAACTTGAATAAAAGAAAACTAATGCAGCCATCACACCTAATTGTATGCTACAATATATAAAATCTTTGTTCTTGGGTTTAGATATGCTTGCGAATGACCTTGAATGAACAATGAAGTACTGAGATGGTTAAGATTTGAATGTACATTAAAACTAAATGAATAGTTTCTTATTCCACATACGTATTCAATCTATTTGTATTGCTTATGGAACTAATAAGATTAAAACAAAATTTGTACTACTATCAACTTTTTCTCTAGTTTTATCTTTGTTGCTATGCCATTATTATTACAGACACCTTGCAAATTAAATATTAAGAATATTATGGAATATTTATTTGTAGGGCACATTGTATATTGTCTGCTTTTTAGCACAAGTGGTGTCATGTCCTACATAACTTCATAACCTGTCAGAAATATTCCTTAGTGACCTCAAATTCTTTGCTTGGCAAGGTAGAAAAACATGCTAATGGAAGCTGCCAGATGATATCTCCCTCTTGATAGCACTAGTACTTTGCTCCAAGGCACATGAATATAAAACAGCAAAAAGAATTGCTAGGCATATTTATACACTGTAACCAATCAGGAAAATACAATACAATAATCTTATCAACTGTGAGTAACATAAGTCGTATTATGACTTTCTGCAAACACTTTGATGTCATATTTACATCTGGTGCCTACTGTCATTTGAAATCTTTCACACAACAAAGCTGTGTAGTCTACCGACCCGAAGTGAAGTGAGCCGAACGCTGTTCATCTATTCACTTCAGACTTGTACGGCTGATTTCAGCCGTACACCAACTGAAATCAGCCGTACATCGGCTTGCTGCGGCTGGCTTCGGGTCGGCCAAACATGCTCAGCATGTTCGGCCGACCCGAAGTGCAGAAGGAGTTTGACTCAGCCGATCCAACATCTGGAATGGCTGAGCCGAACCTCCGGCAGGCTAATCGCTGCTGTTCGGCCTATTCCCATAGATGCCGAACAGCTGTGAGTGAATAGCCGAATGCCACCAAGCGGCGTTTGGCTCGACTATTCTGCTCGGTACCTCTGTGGTACCGAGCAGAATAGAAAACCAGTTAAAATGGTAGAAAAAAAAGAAACCAATTGGGCGGAGCTAGCTGTCACTGCTATGTCATTATGATGAGAGCTTAGCAGAGCTGGCTTTGATATCACCGCTGGCCCCGTTAACCTCTCATGGCAGTTCAGCGTCCCCTGGTCACTAGGTAACCAGGGGACGCTAAACTGTCATTACACACTCAGAACTCGGCGGTAATGACAGATTGGTAACCAGGGGACGCTGATCTGTCAATGCAAGTGGCCGGAGCCAGCCGTGAGCTGATGGCTCAGCCGTTTGGCCAGATTCAGATTACCCCTCGGCTCAGTCAAGCCGAAGCATATGCCTTTGGCTCGACCGATCCACTCGGCCAACTTCGGTATGAAGTGAATAGCCCGTACTGCAGCCCTTCGGTTCTACTGAACCAAAAGGCTCCCGCAACCGAAGCTAGCTGAAGGATCAGCCGAAGCTTCGGGTGGATCCTTCGGCAGCTTTGTTAATAACCCTCTATGTGATCTTCAAAATCTGCCTTTCTTTTTTACACCTAAGCATTGTGTAATTTCCTTTGTAAACACATGTTTATATTGTGTGTGAGTGTGTGTGTGTATATATATGTGTATATATCTATCTATATATATATCTATATATATAGATCGATAGATAGATAGATAGATAGATAGATAGATAGATAGATAGATAGATACATGCACAGTTTATATATAAATATATTTATATATATAGATACATTTAAGACTAGAAATAAATGATATAGACTAAGAACCTTTATCACTTTATCTTTTTAGCACCTATCATGCTTAGTACAATAGAAGTCTAATGTATACATGAAATATAATTGTACGTATATACATGTTAACTAGTAATAGCTAGTCACATTTAGCTGGACTTGTTTTAATATACGGAATATGTTTCACCACTCATCCTAGTGATATCAGGAACATATCCCAGCATTTATATACCCATGTGCATTATTCAACCATTTTAATCCAAGCAATGGTGTCATGCAATGTGTAAAAGCAGATGTGGATGGTCCAGGATATGACAGGAAGTGTGAAATTGTGTGAAAACACCCTGTACCTAACTATATAATTATGCAATTAAGACATTTCGGTTATGACAAGGATGGCTATTAAAGTGACAGATTAAATATTTTCCTAATCTGCCCAAAGGATGGCCTAAGGCTACACAAAGACAAAAGATATCAAATAGGCATTACTGCGTTCAACAAAAATGTTCTATAAAAAGATCTTTTATGCTTCAACATCACCACGGATCTTCAGGGATTACATTTTACGGCATTTTCAGTCGGACACACAATGGGGTCTATTCACAAAGCTGCCGAGGGCAGCCGAGTGAATGACCGATCAGAAGTGAAGTGAGCCGAACACTGTTCGGCTATATTCTGTTTTTCCATTTTTAGATGATCAAAGGATTGTACAAATATGCATATTCAATTATTGAGCTTGGAAGAATAATGTGGAGCATCACTGCATATGTATTTTGGGGGATCTTTAAAGTAAATAGAGACGTCTGGCAAGCATTCTCTTATGTCTATAGTTAGACCAACATTAATACAATTGACAACAGTACAGCACTTGCCCTGATGTCAGTTTGTGTAACTCTAAAGGCAAACCAAAGGCATGACTAAATAAACTATGAAATTATGTGACATCCTGTGTAAAACATGAATGTACTAAAGAAATACTAGTAATCATAATTTCACTTCCAACTCACTTCCAAACGAAAGGTTATATATACTGCATATCTTAATATGCACAAATGCAACATGTCCCTTTGTGTTCATTGTTCATGCAGCTGAGTACTTGGAATGTGCAGTTGTTTGTGTGTGTGTGTGTTTCTAGTTCTCTGACCCGATGCCAGTCAGAAAAAATCAGTCATAGATTTATTGTCAAGATAATTGATACATACCAATGCTGCTAAAGTTGGCCTGAATGTCTATGTTTAGAAAAACTCTGGTCACAAATGGGGTATTTAAATATGTACATTTTAATGCTTTAATGTTTTACATAACAGCATTAACAGTATACAAAACATTTTGAAGAGAACTGCCTCTTTCACATGCACCCCATCTTGATCTTTCTCAGCCTTGGACCATATCCTCAGGCTCAACCACTTCACATACTTCTTCCTTGGGCTCTGAGTGTAAAAAAAAAAAGGTTAACATCAGTTAATGTTTGCCATATTTTCTAAAGTTCAATTTTTTAAAACATCTTTCAATTTATTTGGTATACCACGTTTTTCTTTTTGCAAAGATGCATCTTCTCTTGAATTAATCTAACTCTGCCCCTTCTTCCTTAGGAATATTTACTTAAACAGAAAAAAGTAATACACTGGATTACCTTTTTCTCCATCTTCTGCTTTCCCCATATGTAAATTTTTGCTATCAGAGTTTTGAAAAAAGCAGAGGCATCGCGGAACAGATTGGATAAAAGTATCCACATAGAGGTTGAGGAAGTTGACCTTCATGGATGTGTGGTGATGGTTGTTCAACCAGCTGAATTTGCAGAAATTCTGCTGATCTATAGAAAAGAAACTGATGTTATTCACATACATAGACAGATGTATCTACCTTACTATGAAAATACACCCTTCTCATTCCTTTCATCATTAACATGTACCTATAGCCAAAACTTGTTTGTTTTTTTTAGTTTTAGATAGAGTAGCGAAAGATTAGAACCTCTGTCAAGTTTTACTGAAGACTGGGGCTTTGATATTTCCTTACTTGCTTTCACACGGACAACATTTTAAGCAGACAGGAAGTGAAGGAAACTCTCCAACAGTAACACAAGTAAAAATGCTTTTTTGAAGTTTATTAGGAGAACGACCCCTTGTCTGTTTCTTATTGCAGTTGTTTTCCTGTTGCAGATTTTATCTCACTTTGTGGTGTCAATTTACTAAAGGTTATTGCATGGGATATTCAGGTTCAGTGAAATATCACGTGTGATAAGGAAATATTCAATTCATAAAATGTAAATATTGCATGTGCGTTATGTATTGACTGTTCTCTAAAAACATGTGGTAAATATTGCATGAAATACATGAAACTCAATTCACTTAAAAAAAAAGTATGTGGTAAATAGCACTTGCCCAGGGCACTTGATATCTAATGTCTGCCACCC